TAACAATAGTTATTTGAAATGCCTTCAAGTAATCAGCGAGATGTTTAGATGGGTTTTTGCTAGAGAGAGCTAGATGTCAACAGCAGGAATTGCAATGGAGGAAAATGACAACAACAAAAGTTGACAGAGATCAAGATGGTATAAGGCACAAACAATGCAATACATCATCAGAAGGGGTGCCAAACTTTGGCACAGGTACCAAAACTTTTAACTGGTGTCTTCTCTTTGTGGTAATACATCATTCGGTCAACAAGTGCACTACATCAAAAGATAAAAGAAAGCACTCTGGCAACGTTAACTGGAAGGAGACGATAGAAGAAAGAAACAACCTTGCATGACCTTAATAACAGCAGATTCAGGAAAACGGGACAACATAAACACAGCAGTATATCAATGGAAGATTATGTGCAAAGGTGATAAAAGCTTTTGAAAAATTGTCCAAGGGGAAAAGGTTTTTCTGGTAAAATTAATCCTGTTAACTTTCCTAGTAACAGTGCCATGGAATGCACAGCCAAAGAAGTACAAATGAAGCAGCAGTTGCCTCCTTCGGCATCCTCAAGGTCATGATGTTATATAAAAACTGTCGATCCTTGTTACTCTTGCTAACCCTCACATTATAATCACAAGATGAAGCTTAAGAGATATTATCACTTAGGAGAGTTCTTTGAGTAAACACTTGAATTTTTTTGGATAATTAATTAGTAACTGTGATATCATAGAAAGCTATAATACCATAATGATATAGAAGGTTGTAATATTACAAGGCTCCCTGGACAAAGTTAAATAAGATCAACTACCTTCAATTACAATCGTGATTCTTATGACTAAGAAACCTTGATATTCACAACTTGTCCATGTCCATAAATCAATAGATCTGTCAAATTTAATTCATCTATTCTTTTGAAACAAAAAGAAACATCCACTGCCACTTCCCTCCATTGCATCTATTTATTGGTGTTCCAGATAAGCACCAATCTACGTTATGCTCCCACCCCCTATCTATGGCGGGATTAACAAAGAGCTATTAGTCATTTTGACTAATAGCAAATATTAATCCACCTAACAAAGTTGACTAGATGCATGAGAAACAAGAATTGTCCCATATTTTAGTTTGTTGTTAAGACAAACTAAAATATGGGACAAAAGCATAATACAAAAATAACCATCCCCCCTCAACCACTCCATATCAGCTTCAAAATTTCCAGCATAACTTTGAAATGTCTCTCTCTTTCATTCTCCATCGGGAACTTAAGAGTTTCTCTGTGCATATTTATCTTTGCATACTCTTAAATGAAGCTAGAAAATTAAGTCTTAGAAATGCAGAAAGAACTATTACAGTATACTTTAAGCAATCATGAGACTTTTTACAATCAACTTAAACAGCTCAGATAGATTAAGAGACTAGAAAAAGAGTACCTTGAACCTTTGAAATGACTGTGTCAACCTCATCCGCATGGTCTTCATGAATTAAATAAACCACTTCATAGTGACGCACTGACAACAGAAGTAAAAGATTAAGGATACCATAAAACAAAACTAGATTAATCACCATACATGTTAATGCTGAGACGTACCACCCATCCCACAAATAAAAAAAAAAAAACCTGCAGCACACTGTGTTAGTGCTACAGAAGCATGTGAACTAGGCATATGCCTTTTTCATTGTCCACAAGCATGGACATAGGAAACTGTCATTCACATATCTTGGGATGACATGTAGGATGTAGCATGCCATGGATGTTGCTTATTAAAAATTATGTAGCATGACATGCATAATATGGATCCGCACTACAATCTATACTTTTTCAGTTAGGGGCATGGCGATTAAATAAAACATGATATTCATTTGATCCATTTTAGCATCACTTTTCTACTAATACAAAACCAAATAGCATTTGTAGCCTGAATGTTCCATCGGATGAACATTCTGATATTCATTGTATTTATGGATGTACCATAATCCCCAATCGGTGTGATAACATAGAAAATGATTTATGCACCACAGTCCAACATAAAATAATCAGATATGGATTCATGTAATGAGGTTTGAACAACTTTGATCCAACATAAACGAATCAAGGATAGGTTCAACCACTTTGATGCAGACCTGCATCTACAAAGCAGTCTAAGGATTTAGTGATAATTCAAAGCATGCCACTGGTTCTTGGTTGTTTGTAAAGAGATAGTAAGATCCTAATCCAATTAACCATGTATGGAAATGCTGTGTCATACAGTTCCACCAGAAATTTCAAAAACAAATAGGTATCATTATATTGTAAGCAACTTTGACATAACACTACATCTACAGAGAGGTCTGAGCATGCACTGCTCATGCAAACTGTCATTGGCCAGATCTTTAGTAGAGACTGTGCTGGCTTTCACTAGAAACTTGAAGAATTCAAAGATTACATCATCAGCTTATAAGCTAATTGCCAATAGCACATAGATAATTAACGTTCCTTATTGTATTCTGTGAACATACCGAACTAGTTAAATTACTTTATGCACATTTTGCGAAGACTTTTAACAACTTGATTCTCTATTGAGATGGTGCCGAGTCATTGACCAGTTTACTGGCCACAGGAAAATGACTAAACATGTCTTCTTAACCATTAATTTCGAGTAGGTCTTTGACTACCTCAGGCACTGACCATAAAACAGATGAAGTTTTACTTGCATAAAAAATAATACATTTTGCTTAGAGAGATCCATTAAGTATCAATATTGTGGCTAATTAATCGCTTGATTTCCTTGGATAAGCACAAACTATTTGAATTTATTGTCCTTGGGATAAGAAGACACTTTATAGAGGAAAATGGTCAATCTAGACCTCAGATGTCCTAACGTTAGTCCCAAGTTCGCTCCCAGATATAGAATGATGGTGGTAATTAAGGCTGGGATGTCACCTTCTCTACGCCCACCTATCTGCCTAGCATCAGCCTTCTCGTTCCTCATACTATAGGATGTGGGTAGTTTGGCAACCGCGTTGAGTATTTGATGTAAACCATCATCCTAGGCTGGAATCACGAATGGAAAGAGATTGACTTCCTCCCTCTAGTCAGCGAGTTCAGTCTTTCTTTTTATAGCTGGACACTAACAACTATTTTTTTCCAATATCTTTTTCTTGGCAGCCGATCGGTTCTTTGTAGCTGATGTGAGAGTTGCACAGCTGGTGGTTAGCCCTATCTGGGACTTCCCAATTACAAAAGGTGTTCGAGCATATTACTGTCAGGGTTAATTTTATCAGTTCCCTTGATTCTGAATCAGTACCATTAGTTCTCATGTAATTCACCTACATTTATGGGTTAGACATATTGACATATTCTATAGTTTATTAGAACCAACATCCAAGGAACTATATTGCTCATAACTGCTGGTAACGATTTATCTTTAGGACAACTTAATCGATGATGCTATGCAAATGGTTAATCCTTCAATGAAAACTGCTACTAGGATGTGACTGTTTATAATGGATAAAGCTGGAAGTTTATTTTAGGAGATGGGCTGACAGTTCTTAATGCAGCAGGAGAAGGTACAAAAAACTTATAATCAATATCTGCAACTAGCATGTTCTGTCTCAGGCCATAAACATAATAGAACTGAAGAACAAAACTCTTTCAAGAACAAAACATAATAGGAGATGGGCTGACAGTTCTTTATCAAGAACAAAACTCTTTTTCAATATTCAGCAGAAGCTTTTTAAAGGAGATATTATAAAGATAATTAAACATGATATTAAAAAGCCAATCATGATGTGAATAAGAACTGAAGAACTAAGGAAAAATGATTTGCTCACTTCTTTCAAGATTCAAGTCGCTTTCTAGCTGAAGAGACAGAAACTCAAAGAGTTTCTCTGCAAAAGATAGTGACCGTATTACTTCCAATATTAAAACCAAAAGTAATGAAATATATATTTTAAAATGAGCAAGGTTGCGCTTCTGACCTTCTTCATCATCAGCAAATTCAGGCAAAACTCTACCATCTTCCTTGACAACTTTCTGAATTTTAGAAAATGGATAAAGTCAAAACCAGACTAAGATCTATATACAAGTCCAGAGATAGGAGAATTCTAAAATGAGAAGCATTCAAAGTCAACCAACAAGGCCTTCGTTAGCAGTTGGCTAGGTTATAAATTTGAATGCATATGGATTCGACCTAGGTAATTCTCTAGGTGAGGGCTTCCCTCTCATTATAGAGAGAGGCACATACGAAAATTTATATCAGTTCAAAATGAAATGTTCACACCTGTTAACATATAAGCAATGAGGAAAAGCAATAGAATCTTCCAAAAGTTTCGAACCTCATGAACAAACCCATTTCATACAACAAAGTAAATAAATGACAGAGCCAAAGCCTGGTAGAGATTATATATGGAAAGAGTTCATCCTGACAGACATGAAAGAAAATATGTTATGTAGAACTCTGAAGAAGCATTCAAACACCCAATTACATATCTGATGCCAACAGTTCCATCAAAATCGAATGTTTAATTAATCGTAAATTACTAACATCATCAGAAGCCGGTACATGGCAGTCTTTACTAGGAGGATTTTAGAAAGTGTCTATCCAAGATTGGACCTTTTTAAGCATAACTACTTCGGGGAAAGGCCCGGTGGACTCGTCTGGTCTTGGAGCGAAGCTATGGGAATCGACCTTCTTGTTCCTCTTCTTGGCCCCAGTTGCCACCAGGCCCCGCCCATTTCTCCTGTCTACTGGGGAGTTCGTCTGGAAAGCGTCCGAGGCGGAGGAGGAGTGCCTACGGGACGAGAACCCATGACTTCGAGGAGATTGGAAGAAGAGGGTACGCTGCGCAACGGAGGAAGAAGAGGCCATGAGAGTGGCCTCCATTAACGTCGAAGAAAGAGTACTCTAAGGGCGTACTCCGTGAAGGTATCGACAGATAAGGTGAAAAATTGCGAGTCGGGTCACCACCGGTGACTGGGTGCAGACGCCTCTTATGATATTGGATCTTTTGTAAGGTCAACAGTATACGGGCCCCACTCGGGTCACTCTGATCTTCCATTTTCACGTCATTAGGTTCGGGGAGGGGATTAGGGTTTCGAAGAGTTACCAATGGCGGCTTCGGAGACTCCAACCGAGGGAGGCGATCGAGCCGGTGTTCTCCTCTACTACAAGTACGCCCCCGTCCCTGATCTCCCCTCCCTCGTCCGTTTCTATGACTCCAATTGCCGATCCCTCGCCCTCCTTGGCCGCGTCCGTATCGCCCCTGACGGCGTCAACGTCACCGTAAGCCTTTCTTGATTCCACCAAGAACAGGGGCTTTCTTGTACCATCCTTCTTCTTATACCTCTTCTTGATTTTTTAATTCGATGTGGTTTTGATTCTTTTCTTCAATCCGATCGTCAGCTTCGGAAAAGCTTTGATTTTTGTTATAATTAATGTGATTAGGTCGGTGGAAGGATGCCATCGTTGGAGAAGCACATTGCTGCCGTGAAATCGATGATCCTGTTTGAGGGAACCGACTTCAAGCTCGCATCTTGCGATCACCCTTCCGATGATAGAATCGCTAGAGAATGTGGGTTCACATCACTCTCCATCCGAGTTGTTAAGGTTATTATTTTGCACATGTTTCGGAGTCGAATTTGAGATCTCATTTGGGAATTTGATGAATTGTTCTGTTTAAGAGCGAAGCAAATTACAACATTGTATGAACCGTGACATTGTTCATGATGTCTAAGTTTGTCGTGTTAATTACAGGAGTTAGTTACGTTCAGGTCGGATCCTCTGCTAGATTCACCGAAAGTTTGCAATGCTGGAAGGCACCTCTCTGCGGTTGAGTTTCATTCTGTGCTCCATGATGCCGGTGAGTGGGTTGTTTTCCAACTGGCAAATAAATTTCTAATCTAAATCTACATGTTTCATGTCTAATCTTGGAGTGTGGTGGCTACCACATAAGCGAACAATTCATATTTGCTGATGGAAGTGCATTAGCAGGAAATAATTTGGAGTCGCAGGCACAGAATCAATTTGTCTTATTGGATGCAAGGAACTTATATGAGACAAGGATTGGGAAGTTTCAAGCAACAAATGTGGAGACTTTGGATCCCAAAATAAGGCAATACAGTGACCTACCTTCTTGGATTGATGAGCACTCTGAAAAGCTACATGGTAAACATATTCTCATGTAAGTATTTCCTGGATCAAGTTTGTAAGTATTGGTTTATGATTTCTTGATCGCCATAGTAGTACCAGGATTAATTCAGTTGCTAAGGGAATAAACATTGATCTTTAACGAGAAATCTAAGCAAGGAAGCGGTACAAATTCTAGAAATGAGTGGCTAGTTCTCCAGACTCAAAGATCTTACAAGAAGTGAAAAAAAAATGATTGCATTACTCCTCTGCTTGTTGAGAATAGCATTACTGTTTGAACAGATTTGAAGACATCATCCCTTCAGCACTCTAGGCCGATTGATTCTGAAGGGAGAACATCGAAGTATCTTAAGTTTCCACTCTGATGTATGATGGAGCAAATTGTTTCTCATTTATCCATCCATCACAAGGGCTTACTGGAATTCCTTGAACATATCTTGGTAGGAAGACTACCAGAAGAATGCTAATTCTTTAGCAAGATCTGGTGTTCCAACTTCAGCAGTGTGATCTTTCTTAATGAATCCTTAACAAAGAAGGGCACAGGGACTTTTAAATCTGTGTTCTTGCTAGTCCAACACCAACTCTGAAAGAAAAAACTTATCATGTATAATGCAATATCAATTGAAACAAATGATTGTTTGTAAGCAACCAAAAAGTATGTGAATTCATTTTGTTTGTTGCAAAGCATGGGTGTTTTAGTGCCCAAGGACTATATGCTTGCTATTCTTGCATCTTTCTCTATATTTATATGGACACTTTTTTTGCATAAATAGATGTAACTGAGATGATTGTGTTGATGGTTATAACTACTAGGGGGTGATGTTTTCTGCTTTTGCTGTTCTTATACTTCAGGTACTGTACTGGAGGTATAAGATGTGAAACAGCATCAGCATATATTAGATCTAAAGGTGCAGGCTTTGAGAATGTCTTTCAGGTAAACTTTATTTGGAAAACTTTCTGAACTCATTCACCCGTTCATATTTAGTAAATCTTTTGTTGTTATGTAGAAAACAAATTTAGAGCTTTCTCCATATTACTATATATATTTTTAAGGTTATGAACCGGGAAAAAGAGCCAAATGATCTGTAATGCATCAGAACATCTTCTGTTATATAGTTCTTTCATATACCTCATGATATTTTTTTGTTTGCATTTAACATTATGAAATAGAAGAAAAATGTTGTACTGTCTGCACTCTGCTGTTAGCAACTTGCATCTATCATTTTCCTTTGTTATCACAATTCTTCACAACCTTTTAGAGCAGGAACATAATCTTGTGATGCATGGTCCATATGATAAGGAATGTTAAAATGAATAAATCAACTCTGTCTACCGTCTGAAGACTGAAATCAAGATTTATACATTGGTCTCATCACTGTAGCAAAATTGGATTGTGCTGCAAAAATTGGAGCTTGCAGCTTGTGATGTTGTCCACGTGTTGGCTGCAAGCCCACAGCAATCTTGGATGTAATGTGCCAGGTGAAAGTGCAGGCAGTAGTGATTGTGTCAGATTAGAGTGGATTGTTGTCAGTCTTTCTCAAGAAAAAGTTTAGATCAGGATGGAAGGAACTCTTTGTTGGGTTTATGCTTGACTTTGTTGGTACGCCATGGTGAAGAACACATTATTACATTTAAGAATGTGATAATTATCTTCTATCAGTGGTTTAAGTTACATGCAGTGGGCAATGAGGTCTGAGATGTTAATGGAAAATGGGAATAATGGGCACTATGGTAGATAAGGCAACTGTTATAAGTTGACAAGCTATACTTAAGATTAGCAGACATCTAATTGAGTAAATGTTCATCAACCGAGTCACCTCCTCATGTAAGATGTAGAATGTCAAAAGTTGTGTTGTAATAGAAAATTATCAAAACATGAAATTCACCGTCCATACCCTAGAAAGTTTTAAAGATCAATGAGTACATACTTTTCTGCCTTGTGATGATTATTTTATAGCAAGTTAACTCAAGTGGGTTGCAAATGGTGCTGTAACCTTCGGACTCATCATGACCTCTTTAATTATGCTGTACACTGCTCCCTGATTATGTGAAATCTGTTCCCTATCCATTAAAAGAAGTTGATCAGTAGTGGGTTTTGATTACTGCTGATATGGTGATGATATGGTTCGTTAGTCTACATCCCAATGTATAACATGTTTAAGGATTATGTACGGTCAATTTAATTATCTTTGATTATTAAATGGATTGTTGATATTTAACAGAGATATATACAACTAGAACACATGGTTTGGGATCCTTGATTACAGCTTAGCTTACCATTATTTGAGGCATATCACATGTTTAAAACATTGTGCTTGTCACACCTGCAGAAAATTCTTTTGAGGAAAATTTCACATCTGCAACTGATCTTTTTTAGTTGCTACTGGTGTAGCTATTTGCCTTGACCTTCTTTCTAGTAATATTTCTGCAGTCTGCATTATTTATCAAAACTTACTAAGATGGAAACTAGCATTCATACGGAATTATGTGTTACAGTGAGTTAAAGTTTTTGTTGACATTCATTGGGCATAAATTCCTAATTTGAAAATAGTTTGCACTTTGAAATATTAATACTTGGAACAATTCACTTATCGTATTTATGATTTCTGTGCAAGTTATTTGGTGGAATTCAGAGATACTTGGAGCAATTCCCAGATGGTGGTTACTTCAAAGGGAAAAATTTTGTTTTTGATCATCGGTGAGTCACCATTGATGTTGCAGCTAATTTCTACTAATGTCTGTTGATAGCTACACTTATAGATATTTTTGTTTAAAATATGCCATGGGCTTGGAATGATGTGCATTATGACCTTCAAATTTCTTTGACATGAACAGTATTTCAGTTGGAAATCAAGATGATGTCATCAGCAGTTGTCTACTTTGTGGTTCTTCCTTTGATGATTATTCTTCTCGCTGCCGTTGCAACTACTGTAGGATGTTGGTTTTAGTTTGCTATGACTGTCAGGTTAGTTCATAATTATGTCTGCTTTTGTGAACTTCCTAAATCCTAAACCCTTTATATTTTTGGTGAACTTACTTGAAGATCTAGATTGTGAGTAAATAGATGAAAATGTAGCATTTAAATTGGATGATAATGTTGTTTGGAAATTGACATGAATCTCAAACCTTTGAATGGTCCTCAGTTCGCATGTTATGCTCATTCGTAGTTGCATACAAAGATTATAATTTCTCGAATCAGTCTTTGTTCATTTATTCTTCTTTATGGTTTGGTATTTCACATGTCTGGATGTACTGGCTTAATTCTTGATCGTGTTTCTAATATGTTTTTTAATGATTACTAGACATTCTTCTTTTCTTGTCACTTGAAATGTGTCTCTGATATGCTATGTGCTGCCAAATTGCATGAGCACAGGCCATCGCTGGCAGAAAATATGTTTGTGAGCTTTGTCAGAGAAATGGCAAGGGAAGTGAGCCAATGATGTTACAGGAAAACGAGTTACATGAAGAGCTCTCATCTGATTCATTGGAAGCCACAGAAATTACAAATGCCACTTTTCCTGGTGTCACTACACCGACACAAACCCATAAGACATATGGTAAGGTCTGTATCAATGACCATTGAACATTATTCCAAACTGTTGATTCTGACACTGTATGTTTTCTGTTGAAGATAATCTTTTAACTAAAAGGAGTAATAAGCTTATGCATTGGATGATTTGATTCTGTCATTGAGCTGGCTATCTTCTTCGTCTTACTTCTCTGTTGATTGAATTCCCATATTAGCTAAATTATGGTCCTTTAGATCAAAGGGAAAATCTTCCATTTCTTACTTGAATGGCTGTATCTTAGGTCCATCAGTTGATCACTGGATTTTGGTCTATTAGTGATCAATTTTGGACGGTTTGGTGTTTATCTATCAACAAATGATTGCTTTTTGATGTAGGTTTTGTTGATTAACCTGATGCGTAAATTTTCCCCCTTCTTTTTTTTTCTAAAACTTTACAACTATTGGTTATCTATCCTGCAGCTAACAACCATCTAAGAAAGTTAAGGATTCTATGTTTGCATGGGTTTAGACAAAACGCCTCAAGTTTTAAAGGAAGAACATCATCATTAGCAAAGAAACTGAAGGACATGGTTGAGTTTGTTTTTGTTGATGCTCCTCATCAACTACCACTCATCTACCAGCTGCGTCCCAGTGAACCAGATCTATTATCAGAACAAACCACGGATGCACCTAGTTCTTTCCAACAGTCTCCGCCACCAACAATGAATTGCAAGAAGAGATTTGCATGGCTTATCGACCCGAATTCAAACAGCTTGGAGGAGCAAGGTTGGAGGATGGCAGATGTTCCATTCAACCCCTTGCAATATCAACAACAAACATATGGCTTTGAAGCATCTTACTATTATCTCAAGGATGTAATCTTGCGGATGGGGCCATTTGATGGGATCCTTGGTTTCTCACAGGGGGCGGCAATGACAGCCTTGTTCTGCCAGCAGCAGCAGAAACGCTGCAGTGTTATGGACTTCAGATTTGCAATCCTATGTTCTGGGTTTTCAGCAATTTCCAGGGATCGAAGCAAGGAATCAATAAGGTGTCCCTCACTTCATTGTTTTGGCAATAGCCAGGGACAAGATAGACAGATTGCAAACCAAGCCAGCAGGGAACTTGCGGATATGTTTGAGGAGGAGTGCTCCATTGTCATAGAACATGACATGGGTCATATAATTCCCACTCGGTCGCCGTACCTTGATCAAATGAAGGAGTTCCTTAGGCGCTTCATCTAAATGTTGGTTTAGATGCCAGGATCTATTTGTAGAACTCACTGTCATCTGGCATGCTTAAACATTAGCATGGGTTTTTTTTTGACTTATTTTGTTGATGAAAAATGTCTGCTAAGATTATTAGTGATCTTTAGAATGAAATATTTACCCCAGGTGTAATATTACTACCTTTTGGTAAATGACTCCCAATGTAGCATTAATTTTACTGATCACAGTATGATGTTCTGAACACTAGAGACGGTTCTTGGAAGATCTCAGTTCAAAATATAATCCTTTCAATTCTGCTGCTTCCGACACATACTCGTAATTTGCAGTCATATTTTTTATTCTAACCCCTGATCACCTGATGCATCTGCATATGCCATTTAGAGTGAAGATTTCAGCTGAATTCAAATTATATTTTTTTGCTTCATTTTGACTGACTAAAAATGATATTTAGATCGACTGAATTAGGTCTTGATTCTGGGTGGGTGTGTGTGTGTGTTGTATTAGGTCTTGTCACATCATCTTATAATTTTTGTTGAGATAACCTAAATGACGGCATTTGTTTTATTGAAATAATAAAATATAATTGTTTTAATATTAAAAATATCCTTGATGAATATATTTTTAATTTCATATATTGGTTATAAACTATGAGACTAAGCATTTTGATAATACGCATATTATAAAAACGAAAAGTAATTTTTTTTTTATTGCTTTTGTCATAGAAAATGACAAAAGACACCTTGGAGTCCTGATCAATCAATCATACCTATGGTTCCATTTCAACGGCCAGGATCAGAGCACTCTCGTATATTACATGGCGGAGGGAGGCCAAGCGAGAGTGGAGGGAGCTTTCGAACAATAAACGTAGGCAAGAAATGGCGATGTCGAGCTTGAGAAGAAGGAAGGTAGCCAACCCTCTTGAGAACACTTGAAGCTCTCTCTCTCTCTCTCTCTCTCTCTCTCTCTCTCTCTCTCTCTCTCTCTCCTGCTGTAATTTCTGCTTCTTTTTCTTTTGTGATTATTTGCAAGTTGGGTGGATTTGGAAAATTCTCCAAGATCGGCGCATTTGGCCGTCGTTGGTCAGTCAACGCTCTCGAGAACCCTGCAAGCTATCGTTTGCTTTCTTTTCTTCGGTGCTTCAATCGTCAGTTCCTTCTGTAAGACCGTTTCTTGTTCCTTCGTGATGATCTGCAAGATGGGCGGGGTGGGAAAACCCTCCAAGATAGGTTTTTTTGGCTGTGATCGGTTAGCCAACCTTCTCGAGAACCCTACAAACGTTCGTCTTCTTCTTTTCTTTTGTGATGATTTGTAAGATGGGTGGGTTTGGAAGGCCCTCCAAGATCGGATTATTTGGCCGTCACCGTGCAAGCGATTGTTTTCTTTCTTTTTGGTGCTTTAGGGTTTAGGGTTTAGAGTTGTTTCTGTTCGAGCGCTTCTTTTTCTTTTGTGATGATCTGCAATATGGGTAGGTTTGGAAAACCCTCCAAGATCGGATTATTTGGTCGTCATTAGTCAGGCTACCCATTCGAGAACCCGACAAGCGGTTGTTTTCTTTGTCTTTGTTGCTTATATTCAGTTCGCTCTGTAAGTGCTCTTCCTTTTCGTTTGTGATGATTTGCAAGATGGGTGGGTTTGGAAAATCCTCACAAGATTGGATTATTGGGGTCATTGTTGGCTAGCCAACCCCCTTAAGAACCCGACAAGCTAATTGTTTTGTTTCTCTTCTTTGGTTCCTTAGGTCTTCAGTTCTTTCTGCAAGGGTGATTCTTTTTCTTCTGTGATGGTTTACCAGATGAAGGATTGGAATCCCCTTCACGGTCGGATTATTTGGGCGTCATTGGTCTCTGAATCCTCTCTAGAACCTACGAGCAATTTCTTTCTTTCCCATCTTGGGTGCCTTGTCTTCAGTTCCTTAGCAAATGTCTGCTTCTTATTCTTTTGTGATGATTTTGCAAGATCGGTGGGTTTGCAAAAGCCTCGGAGATTGGAGTATTTGATCGTCACTTTCTTTAGCTTGAATCCTTTACAAATATGGATTGATATCTCTACGCAGAGAGGGTTCCTTCGGCCTTCTCTCCTGCTTTATTGTTAATATTCGGAACAAAGTTTTGTCTCTGTTATCATCTTCTTTTAATTCTAATTGGCTGGGCACAAACTGTTTCCAGTGCTGTAATCGTCATGATTTTCATGCCATATCTCTTAATGCAGGTGGTGCTTCTTTGGTTTAATTCAGACCTTTTTGAAATGATAGGTGCTTTTTCTGTAGGAACATAAAATTGATGGCCATTCTTTGGACTATCTTCTGTTCAAGAAATGTATTTTGCTTTTAGACTGCTTAGACCATGTCTTCATCTTGCTTTGTTCATTGTTCTTCCCATTCTTCATTATATTTTGCTCCTAGTTTACTTTAAACCGACCATGTCTATTTTCTTCCTAGATAGTGGATCGCTTGAGGTTGTAATGTTAACTGATTGCAAATATTACTTTTTTTTAGTTGGTCACTAATATTGAGTTTGGGATTCCATACATAATAAGTCTGTGCTGAGGCTATTATTTATTTTTTGTTGAAGGTCATCTTTCAATCTTTCTCAAATTTATGTGGTTATGTTGGACGTGTTGCATATGCCACAAAAAGGACTATTGATTTTGGGCAGCCAACTTCACTCTCTCATCCTGAGGTACTGGTTTAAATATGTTCCAGCACTTTTTTCCTTTCTTGTTGCACTTTGAGACCTCCAGATATCTCTTATCTAGACACAGTTGCCCACCTGCACCTGAACTATTTGCTGTCTGATCACTAGAATGTTCCTGTCATCACTTTACTGTTTTAAAGTTGAGAAGTTGTAATGTCAATGTTATCTCAGATGTACAAGAACTATCCTATTGTCTATAAATTTGAGTTGCATGAAATAAATGGATTACTTGAAAAGTAAAACAGATATTTTCGATATTGCATGTTCAAGCTAAGAAAATAACAGTACTTAGTTATGCTATGTGGTTTTCATGAACCTTGTTATGGCTTTTCTGTTCCCTTATTGACTTTTAAAATGCATCTGTCCTAGACTCTCATACTAAGATGAACTAAGAAAACCTTTCTGTATAAGTGTCAGTAATTTCTCTGTCATCTTGCCTTAAACTTAGTAAGCCAGAAGTCTAGGGCACCTTTAATTAATGTTGAGTCACACTTCATAAACATTTATCATTAATGCAAAATAATATGGAAAATAAATGCTGAAGAACAAGAAAGCAGAAGATGAAGGAAGAAGATAAAAGGAGAGTGGGCACTATGTAACTGGTCTTTTTTTGACATTTCCTTTCCTGTGAATCATGTGAAAAAGTGTATGGTCTATTATTTAAGTGAATTGTGCAATGCATTTATTCATTAGGGCATAATTACATGTATTATTAAGTTTTTTGATGTGATACAAGATATGTAGAGTTACACATGCACAAATCATGTTCCAGTTTGTTATGATAACAATATGGTCCATCGTATGCAATGCTACACATATATTATTCACCATCAACATGAAACTACTTGGCACTTTTATTTTGGGAGACATTTCAATTGGTCATGATTGTATGGTCTCGTAAGATTAACTGCAGGCCACATTGTGTTGAATTTCTAATCTGGTACATGGATAGGGCACTAAGGATAGTGGTGCCATGGCTTCCTGCGTTGAATGTGAAGGATCCTAGTGAATGAATGGAACTTATTTAGTACATTAGGGATTATAGCGAAGTAGATTGTAACACCTAGAATAGCATTGGTTGTGGACTATTGTGTGGGATGGCTTATCCACTCCTCAATCCAGTACAGCTTTTTCTCTAAGGAATTTCTCTATCATGATATGGTAGTGTTTCTATACAGTTAGTTTGTTTGCAAACTAAGGGATACTGGATCAAAACTGTAAGGAAGTCATCATGTTTGAAAATATAAGGAACTTTGATCTCACTTTTCGTAAGATATAACCTAATATCCTAGGAGACTCATGGGTATATCGATCGACACCAAGAAAGAGGGAGGAGGAGAAGCTGAGGCGAAGGAGGAAGCAATGATTGGGTGGGGCTTTTATTTTGGGGTGGGGATGAGGGGGTAGGAGTGGTTGAGGTAGTAGGGAGAGAGCAAGAGGTTATTAAAGAAAAAGGAAAAAATCTATAAGAAAATAATGATACTACCAATTTTGGGGATCAGAATGGGCAATACCACTTGGTCCATGGCCCTTTTTCTTCTCAAACGGTTAATAAATAGTTCGCATGAATTGGCTCGACCGGTTCTTTAAACACCTTGCTTGATATTAATACTAATATTAGAAAGAATATTAGATACATTTCCTATGGTACCCACTATGTAACACCCCGATTAGTCTCATATCGAAAGTGAGCAAGATTAAGATTGACTTATAAGGGTCCAATGAGTGTACTATTATCAACTTTAGCATAAGTATTTGAATAGTAATTTAGGTCAAACGAAATTGATAGACCAATTAGCCCATCAGACCCGAGTTGTGACATTTGGTATCAGAGTTGATCTATTATTTGAGTATGGTGAGGATGCTCGAGTAGGAAAGAGCTACTCGTAGATGGAGTCAGAGGGACTCGTCATGGTGTGGAGCCACCACTGGGCTAGTCTCATATGCATCATGTTAGGATTTGATTTGGGTTATGTTGGACCTTGATGAAGACATTAAGCCCTTGGGTGGGGGAAATTATAATACTCCAATTAGTCTCACATAAGAAGTGGACAAGATTAATATTAACTTATAAGGGCCCGATAAGTGTTATACTATCAACTTCAACTTAGGCATTTTGACCAGTGGTTTAGGTCAAACGAAGTTGACAGGCTAGTTAGCTCATCAGGTCTGGGTCGTAACACACTACCTAGTATACGAAATGGTGTCTGGAACAAGTATGCTGAAGGTATTCGTTATTCTGATCTTTTTTCCAGGTAAAGCACACTCTTGGAAATATTCATCCCATTTGACTCATCCTTCACCAATATTTCCCATAATCTCTTGTCCTATGATGCATAGTATGGTGGAAAAAGAAACTAGAATGAATATATGATCTCTTGTTACAACTAATGGATAGGAACGTTGAAGTCAAACTAGGAACATGAAAGGTGAAGTATGGAGTAAGGTTAGTAAGATTGGTGCGCCAATTCCAACAAGATTACTGATATAATCATCAATCTGAAATATCCTTCCCTTTTCTGGCACTAACTAAAGTATATAGAGTTGCCTGGACTACCACTCATGTGCCTTTGGTTAAAGGAACTAGTCACATAAGCTTACAGTGAGATGCTTGGTCAAGTGGGATCTTTTGCTTTTATTATCCTTCATTTATACTTGTCACTGACTTTTTCATGTCACATGCAGTCTCTAACTCTTGCCTTATTATTTAATGCCATTTAGGCTCACTTGGAAATTTTATTCACTTGTTCTTCAGCATTATAACTATTACCTTTTACTCTTTTTTCTTTTGGAATATGCACCTCATAACGTACCAAGATCAATGGCTAAAACATATCTTTTGCTCCTTTTCCTTGGCATCTCAGACATTTGAGAAAGCTAATTTTCGCTGTAGGTTCTGTTAATATTCTTTATAATATTACTACATTTTGACTTGTTACTCTTGTCTTTCATAGTTAGTGGGTGAAGATGAGATTACACCTGGGATAGCAACTGATGAATATATTTCAAGAAGGAAAAGGCTTCTGGAGTTGCTCCCTGAAAAGAGCTTGGCTATCATTGCTTCTGCCTCTGTGAAAATGATGACAGATGTTGTGCCCTACCCATTTAGACAAGATGCTGATTTTCTTTATATTACAGGTTGCTTGCAACCTGGTGGTATAGCAGTTCTAAGCGAAGAGTGTGGCCTTTGTATGTTTATGCCAGATCCAGATCCTCACGTAAGCCCCAAGCCTTCATCTCGTGTATCACTTTTTCCGATTTATGGAGTATCTGAACCAGTGATGTCTAAGCTTAATTTTATGGAGTATTTGGAAAAATTCATAGCTTGGTTTTACTATACAAGATTTTTCTTGGTGATATTTGTTACATTTAAGCGTGATCACAACCCTGTATGTGGATAACATTGCATTTTTGTAATAACCCAAGAAGTAACTCGATGCAGACATCATGGCCACCACATCACCAAAGTTGTGTCAGATTGTGATGCAGACGACCCATTCTTTTTATGTTCTTGTTTTGTTAATCTATTTTTAGCATTAGGCTGGGAGGTCCAGGACATTGGTGATCGGGTGAAGTCAGTTTCCCTCTTGTTTCTGCCCCCTTTGTTATTTTCCTGTTCAAAATTGCTTATGCAGTAAATGAAGTGATGTTCCACATATAACATTCAGTTATATAGTTAGCTGATGTTCAATCAACATGAAATCATATGTTTGGTATATATATTTTATCATTCTTCTATCTGCTCACAAAAATTATTATGTCTGCTTGATGCTATTCTCATGCTTTTCACTTGAGTTTTTGTTGCCATTTAAGATTTAAGTGCAATTTGTTTTCCATAAAATTTATGTAAAAGATGAATTATGATCTGTCTTGTTTTCTTTCTGAAAATATTTTATTTTTCTTTTGTAATGTCCTCTTAGAGAAACGACAACATTAACATCACTTAGTGCTTGAGTACCTTAGTTCTGATATTTGATGAATCAAGTCCAGGATTGTTGAATATTCTGTCTTCTTGCAGCAAAGTATTAAATATGTGGATTTTGCAATGCTGGAACTTAGGATGTTTCATAATTACACATGTTCAGGAGATCTGTATTATTAGGGGCATTACTCTTTTGATGTGTTGCTAACAATTACAATCCTATTTTTGTTTGATGTTTCCAGTACTAAGATATGTAATTAAAACATGTGTCTGTTTCTTCCCTTGTACTACCGTATTTCTACCGGAATTTTATCCTCTACCCATATCTTGTCACCTAGTTATCTGGTTCTACTTCAGTATTGTAGTCTGGACATGAGAAATCGTGTCTATGATATAGATAACTACTTGTCTATGAAAAAATCATTTTATATGTATTCTTCTTTTTCCTACTATCATATTTTTTTCATTGTTTAACAGGATGCAATTTGGCAAGGTCAAGTTGCCGGAGTGGAAGCAGCCTTGGAATTTTTCAAGGCTGATAAAGCATTTCCACTGAGTGCGATGCACAAGGTTCGTGCTTCATTTTGTGGATGATGTAGATTATAGATTATTGCATCCATGTAATGCCAAACAGTTATGCTAGTTTAGTTTGTATTGTTGGAATCTTTCGTGGGTGTTGGATTGCTATGTTTACTTGTCTGCATGTTCATTGGCCTGACATACTTCTGAGATTGTAGACCTTAAGTTCTCCAGCTATTGTAGCACCTTGTTCTTCAATTTCCCATGTTCATTATCTATTTAACTGGACTATAGACTCATAGCGGTTTTTGCTTAACAATTCAACTTAATTTTACCTCAGGAAAAATAAATTGTCCATCTATGCCTGTGAAAGGTTGTCTTTCAGCATGTATGATGCTCTAAAATATAGTTTACAGGTATACTTCTGAATAGGTTTCTAAATGCCAATCGGACCACAATGTACCTACCTATATTTACTAATCTGACAAGGTACTGGTTTCAAACCATAAAGCCCGATAAATAATTCTTTATTATTTTATTCAATAGTGTCAGGCAGTACAGGTTGGTATACCCCTTGTATATCCGTCTTGTAATAGTTTGCTAGGTTTATAAGGTCAATATCGGATATTTGACTGATATTGAGATCATTGCTCTTGAAATCTTTGTACTTCCTTTTTTTGTGCTTATACTTATTGGGACACTCTACTAAGATGTTAAATATTGGTTATTTAAGCAAGAACAGTCTCACATACCACTTCTAAGACGACTGATGATCCAATATGGTGCAATTTGTTAGGGTTTATGGTACAAAGTATAAACTACAAAGTGTCAATGGATGTACTCTTAAGCCTTGTTCCTCTGGTGTAAGTAAGAGTACAAGTTTAAGAGATATGAAGAAATAATGCTACGGTAACTGCATGCATATTTATGTAGAGGAGCCTTATTGCCTTGCCTTAGTTTTTATTAACCATGTTAAATTAAGGTTGATTCATCATGTCAGATAGATAATGACACTTCGATAAATGAAAGAAGAAGAGTTGGAAATTTATAGTGGTGAAAATGTATGTCAGTTTGAGAGCATACATTATATACTAAATGTTAATTTTCCTATCATTTTGGCCTGTAGGAGATTGGAGTGTTTGGAACAATTTACTATTGCAATTTTTATGAGTTTCTTTGGTTAAAGTTGTTACACATTCTCCAAATCTCTTTGAAAATGCTTTGTCTCTAACAGGCTTAATTCTCCATAAAGGAATGCAACTTTCTTAGATATATATGTATATATATATA